TTGGTCCCATTTGATCTTTTATTGTTTAATTTAGTGTTTGGTCATATGAACAGAAAAAGGATAAAAAATAGATTCACAACTCTTCATATAATTTTAATTGGTCTACTAAGTTTTGTTGCCGGGATATTAGTGGCTGGTGTGGGAATAATTATTTACCATAGAGAATGTCACAAACGATATTTGATTAGAAATATTAATGGTAATAATAAAAATAACAGTATCAGTAAGTTAAAAAGTGAATTAGTTCCTGAAGATGATATAAATAACCTACATCCTAATCATTTGAACTTTTCACCGCCACCTCAGCCAATTCTAACTTTGCCAATACCAAACATTGTAACATCATCTCCAAATGAGAATTCACTAAATTGTAGGCACCGAAAAGCTCATAGTATTGTTTACGATTCAGTAGCTTCACAAGATGGTGTTACGTATTTAGAGCCAAATATCAATTATCAGCAAAACCCCAACAATGATCGACCAAACGCATATAGTAGAATAAATTATATACCTGATTCATGTTCACCAGATGAAGCATTTAATAGACGAGAAACAACAACAACTGTAGATGGTATGTTGAGAAACGATGGATTTTGGAGTTATCCTCGTTCAGGTCGAGTTATAACGCCGTCAAACCCACTGAATTTCTATGAAGAGACTGTTTCTAACTTACCTACTCAATATCATCATGATACAATTGGTTATCAACTTCGTCATCATCAGCAACACCATAATTCCAATCTGGCTTCACAATTTTATAGTACAGACATTGGTCATTTGCTGCAGTCAAAAGATAATCATGATAACTGTGGTAAATATCTAGACAATGCTCTATCCACATCAGCTTCAGGTAATAAACCGAGTGGAATTTTCAACCGAATAAACATCAATAATGTACAACAATATTCACAGTCTCCTATATTAATTCCCCAAAATCATCCTGAATACCGAAGGAAGTCTCAGGTTCGTAATCAAACTCTAAGTACAATATCAACACAATTAGAACCATGGTATGCCTCAGCTGCTATCGGTTTACCGCACAGCAGTGGTAATAGTAATAGCAATCGTCGATTAATGTCGGATTACGGCACATCACCAATCGATATGACGAATACACCTCAATATCGTCATGAACATGTCGTCAGTCGTGATGAAAATAATGATAACCACCATGAGGAAAGCTTTCGATTCCCGCCTAAAATGCCGATCCTATCTGAAAGGCATAAATTATATGATGTCAACTCACAGTCTAGATTGATACCATCGTTGTCAGTATATTCACATCATTCTTATAGCTCAAACTTTTTAGATGCCGATAATCGATCATCTGTATGGAGTGGATGTGAATCAATTCCCTTCGAAAGACCATCTAATCCACACTTAAGAGAACCAAGTGAGTTTTTCGAACAACAGTCACCTTCATCACAACTGCCCCCCTCCCCAACACTTCCGCCTCACATTACATCAGAAGAAATTCCTTCCTCTGTACCGGTAACAACTTATTGTATAACACCATGAACTTTGGAGTATAGTGATGTTTATTTTTTTAATGACTATTTTTAGGCTAACAGACAAGAAATTAGGCTTTTATTTTACTTTTTCCCGAATTTTCTTTTTCCCCTGTACTCCTTTCTCCTTGTATACCTTTGAGTCTAACTAATACTAAACATAATACTGTGTACTTATAGCATGAGTAGTTATTTGTATTAATGGAAGGTTGTAAACATTGAGTTGTGCATAGATTTATAAGGTTATGCATAATTTGTATTTAATTATGATAAACACAAAGTTTAGTTCGTGAAATAATATTAGATAATTCATGTTCTTTAGACTTATGTACAAAATCACTTTACAGATATAATGATCTGGACATAGAGTTTGAAAGTGTATGACTATCATATCTGATATGGAATATTAAAACTAAATTAAACATCATGTCAGCATACAACAAGCAAAATTAACGCAGTAAAGATAATTGTGCTTAAAAGTTTCGCAATTTGGCTAGAAAAGTTTTAGGAATTGATTTAATTTGAAAATAAATTTCATCACGAACTGATATCAACGGGTGAAACATTGGAAATGATGAAGCAGAAAGCAATCGACTTCATCATCAAGTGAGCCAACTACTGACCAGCTGACAATCCACAACCCCACGTTGAAATAAATCCAACATCTTTAATCCCCTAACTAACAATCATACATTTCTCGTACTAGGTAGTGATGAATTTGTTTAAATTTTCCGAAATCAGTCACTTTGTGATAATGTACAGTTCTCGTTCAACGTTGGTGATAAAATTATGTTACACTGACTTTTAGTGGTTCTTCGCTTGATGTCAGTCTGTTTCGCAGTATGTTTTACAGTTAACCCAATCCGATCTTGGTAGATTTTGCATGGCTGTCATATTCCAAATGATCTACATTAAAATCATTATCATATATTCCGTCTTGTTAAAATTATCCACTTTCTCTTATAAAACAATTTTCATTGACTTCAGAGTTTCTGTTTTAGTCTATTAGTTATTCTGTATGTAATTATAGGAATTTGTGAATTGCACAAGTAACTATGATTCATTAATATAAGAAGATTTAATTAACGGAATAAGTAATAAAGAAGTCCAACTAATATTTACATTACTCATAATGAGAAATACTAAACTTTAGAGACATGCTTTAAAAATGAGGAATGAAGACAATGTATGTGTCAAGAAGTAATGAAATTCAAAATCTAGCTAAAGATAAAGAGGGAATAAATCTGAACAGTAATAATAATCTGAAGCCTTATCATCCAGCGTCTACAGTCACTGATTTGGGTTATCATGCAAACCCCAACCAAACAATCTACATGTGTCAACACGATTCAGCAAACTGGTCAATAATTTCATGGATTGATGTCACTTTGGGAAGAAATTTGCAGATAAATGATTTCGAAGAAGTCAGTGATATGCGTTAAGCAAGTGACCACTCATTCACTTCGAGACATCGAGTGTGAAAAATTAGTACGAAACATCGTTGTAAGGTTGAAATTTATTGACGCAATTAAAAGTTTATAAGATTTTCTCCAATGATGTAGAAAGTTGAAAACACTCTTTTGAATACAGTGGCGATTACTAATTTGAAACTGAATCGTTGAACCATCATTACATTGAATTTAGTATTGTTATAACTGAGAATTGGAAAAACGGTGAATGTATACAACTCTCTAACTCAACACGCGATTTTTTAGTGTGACGGTAGGCTGGGAACAAAATATGGGCTGCAAACCCAAGGCATGGCACTAGTCAATAAAGTCAATGACTGTTGTTACGATTCATGTTGACAGATGCGGACTACCTATTTGGGGTCCGTACGATAACTTTAATCAGTGATCAAATACTTTGGGTGACACGTTTCAAAATCATTCATGATGGCGTAGACGTTTCTGCTCTTAATCTTCCTTTTGATCTTGAATTCCAATATTTCTTTATAATTCAGTTTGTTAATTTCGTCGCATTCTGTTAATATGGTTTGGAAACCTGACCAATACATATTTGTGCCAGGCTCTGTTTTAATGAAGTTTGACTTATTGACTCACATATGTTAAATCAAGGTTATCTAAACAACCATAAACTCTTCTGTTTAGTGTACAGTATGCTAGAAAAATATGTGGCGGAAATAGGTGACTTTTGAGAGATACGTTGCTTAATTCATTGTACCTTTTTTAGCTACATATTCGGCAGTTATTTTTGACTATAAATATCAGAAGTCCTAATTCGTACTAAAAGCGCATAGCAAGTCTATTCATTTCAAATATTACTAATTGGTTTATCGTTTTATCTACTAGAAAAACAATAAACGGTTGACTATTAATGGTTATATCGGAAGTTTGTTATGCAATTACTTAAGAAAAACGTCCATGAAATATTAATTACAAAGACAAAAGATCACTTTAAGGCAGCTTAAGAGATTGACAGTAAGGAGGGATTATGAGATTTATTGAAAAGCATAGTAACAAGGCAGCTTAAAAACGTTCATTATATAACAGCGTTTCAGCCCTACGGTCCTTAAACGAAACTCGCAGTTAATGATCGTAATTTTACTATTATTTAAGGCTTATTAGGTCAGAGTAATTCGGAGTGATGCGTAATTATAATTCATATCAGGCTTAATAACTTATATACTTTTGTTTCTTACTATTCTGGCAATCCAAAAATTTAAAAAGTAGGCTCAACACTAGAGCAAAGCTATATTTAGACACTTTATAACACTAAAATGACTCATTTTACTAGAGTATCTCTCAGAAGCTTAATACAGTCCCACTCGTTGAACACAAAAGAGTGTACTAAAGTTTAAATGCATACAAGCAACGTTATACAGTTAAATAAAAATCCAAGAAAAGTACATAAAACACTGTTCTTATTATCTCTTTTTTCGTTCAAACTGGAAACCTTTTAGATATTTGCTGGCCTCTAGATATTAAAAATTAATGATGTACGGCAAAACATGTAGGTGTGATAAAGAATCTAATCCATCGAATCAAATACATAGAGTTTTGAATAAAAGTAAATGTCAACCTAAATGGAAAGTATTAAAAACTTTTTCGCCGGCTGTTGTTGTTTTAATCAATTAAGAACACATGTATCCTAAAACTGAGAGACTACTCAAATTCGTTTGATGCTTTTACCATTATTAATTTAACTAGTCAGGCTAGTGTAAAGTCATATTTAATCATGACGTTTTGCAAAAAATAGCTAACTGGTTTTTGGTTTCAAACCATACCAACAACAAAGTGTATTGATATAAAAGATTGCGTGTTTTGTAACATGTAAAAAGAAAAGACTATCAGATTATGTTCGTAAATATATATTAAGATTTTAATGGATACTAATTTAAGATGCCCTTTACTCTGACCCATAAGCTTATTGTATTGTATGAGTGAATAAATACTTAACATACTCTGTCATTAAAATTTCATAAAAAATCAGAAACGACTAAACTAAACCGTTTGAAATAAATAATAAAGTTCAAAAAGCTGTCCTATTGTTCTGCAGGCTCTTAATTTTTTGAGTCAAAGCCTTTGTTTGAAGTCGGTAGTTTGCAGTAATGCGCTTTGTTTCTTCCAAAGACTGTCTTTTGTTTACTACAGAGTCAAATGAATCTTCGTAGTTTAGTAACAAAGCATTTCTTCCTAAAAGTCCACAAGACCGGCGAAGTTTGGCATTCTCAGTCTTAAGAAGTTCTCTAGCCTTTCTAATTTTTGTTAGATGGTCTTTGTTTAGTGACAAATCCCTATCGATACTATCGAGTATTTTCTTCTGACAGGCATTACTGTCAAGAACAGCTTGAAGTTTTTCTCTGATATGAGTAATTATTTGAACTGTGTTCGAAATTTTCCGTTTTAATTTGCTCAGCTCTTCGTTTCTTTCCTCGATTTTTTGATTAAATGTTTGATTCTCGATTTTTAACTGCTCAAAATCAATTAAATGTAAGCCTTCTGACAGTTCATCTCTGGACCTTAGCAGAGCCTCAACCTTTGAGAGTTGATTTCTTAGCTTTATGTTTTCTAGCCTAACTTCTCTGACCATGGCTTCTTTATTTTTTTCGGTCGTAAACATAGAAGAAAGTTCTTTAGAGCTTATTGGTTTCCCAGTACGAGTATTTATCGCCTTCCTTCCTACGTTATACTTAAATTCCGTAAAATCTTGGTAGGCTTTATCAACTTCTTCTTGTTTTTTCTGGCATAAGATTTTCATCTCGTTAATCTGCTCAGTATAAGAAGATTGCATTACCTTACACTGGTGACGAAGGTCAGAGATATCTGAGATATACTTGATATATTTCTGCTCATAATCTGTAGAAGAGTCACTCACTATACCGCTAATGCTTGACCGTGTGGTCTGTTGATCAGAGGCCTCAACTTTTTTACGTCTAAAGTATTCAGCCAACTTTGTTTGGAGCTGGAGGTTCAAATCTTTGACAGCTTTCTGTTCGTGTAAAGATTGTCTGTACCTTTCTATCAACTCTTCGCGCCTCCTGAGGTCTTCTGCTACTTCTGTGTGACTGCTGATACACTCGTTATTAGCATTTATAAGAGAATCTGGAAGGCTAAGTTTATAAGATTCATCAGGTCTAGAAACACGATGAATCTCTTCATGGATTTCTCGTAGTTCGTTAGTTTCCCGTTTATCTTCAAGGACTTCAGTGAAATGTAGTTCAGTCCCTTGTTCAGTCATATGATCAACATTGTAAAGTCTTAACTGATGTGGATTATCATTCACAGGAAAATTCAGTAACTGTTCATGTCTGGCATCAATTTCTTCGATTTCAGAAACGCCACTACTGGCAGCTAAATTGTTATCAACAAACGAATTGGCTTCAATGGCTTCAATGTTCACAAAACTGTTTTTCTCGACATCGGAATTTTGAGGATCAGAGTAAATATTTTCATTTACAGAGTTTATTTCACTCCGTTCATTCTCTGTTTCGGGATCGGCGACGACACAATTGTTGTCCTTTTTTGATACAAATACTTAATAATCAAACTTTGAAAATATATTTGTTAATACCTTGGTCTCACCATTTTGAGAGTTCATTTTCAATTCACCGGCATGTACCGTTCAATTGCAACTGTAGCAACGACCTTGACGTCGATCCAATAACTAATATGTCCCATATCCTTGTCAAAAGTTGGTATAAACCGATTGGTTTATTTGGGCTCGCTTCTTGTTGATTCGGTAAGGTTACATGCATTTGGTAATATCCGGTCGGTGGAAGTTTAACCACTCGACTGCACTTATTCTAATCCGTTTGGTAGTTATTTGTGGATTTGAGAATTTTATAGTTTGAGTAAGTACGTTTGTCTCAAGACACTAGGGTTTCTGAGTACCATCAGCTACCATTTACCTGGTAGTAGGTCGGTTGGTTGCAATATCAAAATAACAAATTGATAATACGAGTGCCAATAAAGGACAATTATTTCGAGAAACAAATAACTGGTTTGTAATGTGCTATAAGACAAAGCAAAATAGGGAGTAGTTTCTGGCATTAGGTAGGGATAGGCTTGATGAATTGCTAGGGGTGCATCAAGCACAGATGGTCCAGGAGGGATATAGTAATCCATGGGTGATGTGTGTATCAAGTCTCCTCTTCAAGCTATCCACTGAGAGGGCTGTGGTTACTCCGTTTGGGAAAATTTCTGTATTGGGTAAAGTGAGAGCGCACCTGGGTCGTCTCTTTCGAGTGTTGCCGTGAGCAGCATGGCGAGGGAGTTCTTATAATATGCTTGTGCTGAAGTATCTTGAGGTACTTATTATCTTATTATTGGGTCACGTCTTATTCTTTAGTGGCTCAGCCAGAATATTCTCAGGTGTTTGATTCTGTCTTCGTGAGGTCTATACTTTAGCCTATCAACCACTTAATTGCACGTCTCTGTACGTGGTCTATGAGATTTATTTCACAAGGTGTGGTTGTACACATGTTTTAAATACTTAGAAACAAATATGGGGGTGATTGACTCAATTTTCCATCACATTTAACTTGGATGCTTTCTTATGAAGCTTGAGCCGGTGTATAAACTGTCTTTGATTTATAGGTCGAAATCACTTTCTGAGGAGACATCGGGACCGGATTTTAAATCAAATCGTTTATTCTCTGTGTAAAATGAAACAGAATCTCATGACACGACATTTAGACAAATCAAGTTTTAACCCTCTGCCTACTGTTCATTCTTCTATTATTCCAAGGTCATTTCGAGGCTAAAGTGAGTTCTTTCAATTTTTCTGGAACACTGGATCTGTGCGTCGTTTTCATAGATGAGAGTCGATAGTTAAATCTTATCGAACATGTCATTAATAAAGGCCACTGGTAGGATTGAATCTAAGGTTATTCATGATGAAACTTCTGACTCCGAGACACTTCAACTAACTTACCTTGACAAGAAATACCTTGTCCCCAAGGAAGTTTCGGAACCAAGATAATATTGGTTTAGTGCAACCCATCTATGCAAATAAGAAATACGTGCGGTATTGTATCATAGGTATTGTGATTTCAAGGAATAATAAATAAACTAGTATCTTTTATTCCCATCAGGTCGTCCGGCTTTTCCATGCTATGAGTAGATTGAATGCACATGATGTGCCTCTCCTGAAAACTTGTTGGGCATTTTGGATTATTCCTCGTTCACTCTTTAGCTCCCTCACTTATTCATTGAACAGTCCTTCCATTACCTATGAAAGTATTAAGAGTAATGTGACTGGTCTTTTGAAAATCAGGGAGAGAGAGAGAGTAGCCCGTTTTTATTCTCTCAGCAGGTTGACTAAATTGAGTATTTGAACAGATCACATGTCGGTGTTCTACCCACAGTTTGATGATTGTAGATCGAAGGCTGTCACATCCTGGTGACTCTCCAGAGAACACGGATTTCAGTTTTCTTGGAAGTAACCCAGGGGTTAGTTGGGCATCTTCCAAACCCTAAACTGGCACCAGAGTTTGAAGTAGTTCCGAGCTTGTGGGCTCCCGACATGACTGGTCTATGAGGTCGGTATTATATACTTCTGCCATTTCTGTGTTGATGAGATCTATTTCATTTGATCGTTAAAGAGCTCAACACTCTGGTTTCTAAGATCCCTCGTGATTATGAGTCTGTACAGATATTTAGGGTTAGTTTGGATACTGGCCTCTAGCTTGGCCAAAAACATTTCTTATTGCTTCGAACGTCGTTGCTGCATTCGCTTCTTAATGTCAAGTAGGAAATAGGGTCAGAGTCCTTCAGAAAGACTTGTAGAATCATTCTCTATTTCGCCATTAGTACTACCATAATAATATGTCTAATCCCAAAATTTAAATTTGTCATGATGTGAAAACTTAACCTATAAGGTCTTATGTGAAAGCCACGTCATTGTCTATTCTGTCTCTCCATATCATAAAAATCAGGTATATGACGTCTGATATTTCTTAGGGACATATTCGGGCTGAATAGGAAGTATTATATATGATAAAAAAATTTAATGGGTTTCATTTAGACTGACCACTTCTGCGTGGCTGAGCCACGCCATCTTGGATCAATCCTCCTGAGTTCACCATTGTTAAGCTTCTCTCCGTGTTGAACGTTGAGTATCTATTTTCCAAGTTATCTCATGTTCAGCTTTGAGGGTTGTTAGTTCAGGACCAATACCACTGCAAGCTTCGTTACGAGCGATGTTTGGACTCTTTTCCCTCATTTATTTTTTGGTCACTGGTCTTACTGCGAGTAAGAATGTGCATAGGAGTGTAATGCTGATTGCTTACTTGAAGAATCAGTTGTAGTATCTTTGTCGAGTGACTCATTTTGTACATGCTACACTGAGATTCTCTATCTGTTGTCGTTTTAAGCTTTCTTATAATCTGCTCGACTAATTATCACGTGATTAATTCGCCAATCTTAATGCGACTTATATATTCCGAGTACTGTGCCAAGTTAATGACGTTCGACTGGTATGGGCGACGTAGAGTCCTTATTGGTTCTTCGTCCTCGTTGCCCCTCCAGTTAAGCCCAGAACTCCAATGACAGCCCCCACGCTGCGAATCATTTATTTTAAACATACATAGTCTTTCTTGTATTTATACTATAAGTATTAATGAGAATGCCACTTAAGTGCATGATACTCAATAGACTAACAGTAAAATGTTAGACAGTTTAAGAAGGAAGTACGCGAGACCAGTGTTCGTGAGGAAAAAGATAATGGAAATAAGTGAATATGTCACACGAGAGTAAGACCTGAAAGACACTTAGAACCGCAGCGTCATCTTTGGCCGTTCCCAGCTATCAACTTAGCATGGATTTAGAAAGGATTCTATCAGTCAATTGAATCTAGACCACCATGGAAAACCTGTAATCACTAGTATGAGAAGCCGTTACCAGTGGAGTTCAGGTGGGTCTGTTGTGAAATATCAGCTGACTGAAGACAATAGTGTACGGTGGTACGATTTCGTGGATGGGTTGAAGTTAGACATAAACACCTTTGGATGCCTGCTCATTAGTCTAGTTGGCTAAGCTCCTGGCGCGAGAGTGATAGGTCCTAGGTTCAAATCTTGCGAAGGGCGAGATCGCGGATGCGCGCTGCTGAGGAGTCCCATACTAGGACAAAACAGCCATCCAGTTCTTCCAGGATTTCCATGGTGGTCTAGCTTCAATTGACTCATGATTTCAACTATTGAAATTTCCGAAATCTCCACAAAACCCCTTCTGATGTTCCATTAGTCCTGTATTTGAAAGATAATGGATGTACGCGAATCTCAGTTGAAGCAAATAGAAAAAGAACGGTTGATCAGCTAGGCATACCACACAGTGGTTGAACCTTAGCATCGTCATCATCGTCAAATTTTTTGTTGTAGCTGTCCTCCAGCAAGGTGGAGACGTAGTTCATATCGTTGAAGGCGAGAGACTGAGAAGATTGAACTGGGCAATTTCATCGATGACAGAATTAAAACATGTAAATGACAACTGTAGGAAGATGTGGGAGTGGTGTATTTAATATATGATTTCCATGTCTTGCTAAGCAACAAAGTAATTTGCATTGAACGATAGATTGGATTCCCCAGTCGTCTCGTTCACAAAATTATTACCATACAAATTGGGTAAAGCTGATTATATTCTTCTGATTCTGAGACTTTAGAATCATGGTCTACTTCGATTTTAGTACTGCTCTAATAATAGACCTAATCCAAAAATTGTTGATTCGTCATAATCTAACCGCCTAATCTGTAAGATCTTACGTGTAAGTCACATCATTGTCAACACTAACTCATCGCATCGTAACAATCGGCAATATGTGATAGAAAACACATTTAGGTTGGGGAAAGAACAATATATTTAATATGAAGGAAAGATAGCAGACGACTCTTAGGTGACCACGCCTGCAAGGCCAAGCCATGTTATCCGGTAATCAATTAATTGGATTTGTAGTGACATTGGGCTCTAACCACACATTCCCTCAAAGCTGAACACGAGACATCTGGAAAAATAGATACTCAAAATTTAACGCGGAGAAAAACCCAACGCTGGAGAAGGCGGAAAGAAAGAATTAAAAGACTTCGAATTGATCGGATGGCGTGGCTCAACATCTCAAGCGCGGTCGCTCTGTACAACTTTCTATTACTCATATCAAATATATTGTTCAATCTTTAGCCTGAATGTGTTTTCCATCATATATTGGTGATTGTTACGATACGATGAGTTTCGGTATGAAGCTTGTTCCTGTTGGTGTTTTAAGTCGTGAAGGTTCTAGCAATGTCAACTGTATATTTGTTGGTAGTACGTGATCAGTTACTATATAATCAAACTAGGTTACACTCTGTCGGGCATTGTTGAGAGAGTGGTCGCAAAGAATTTTTATTCGGATCCTATTTTGAGCCACTAAACGTTTGAAAGAGTTAACTGTTCGTCAATAATTAGTATGGGTGTTAAGTTTAGTTCCCCAAATGGTTAATAAGTGATGATTCTACTTATCGATTTCAGTTGAGCCTTTGAAAGTGTCTTCTTCTTTCATAACTTTACTCATTTTGCATATGGCACAACCTTTTATCCTGATTCAAATATTTTTTCACAAGAACTTAGCCAAACCGTTTGCTTTGGATCTTGCTACTGTAAGCCTATGATCTTGCCTGAAAACTGACACGCCTCATGTAACATATTGTTCTTTAAGAATGAATTATTATTACTATATAGCCTGTAGGATTGTAGAAGGCAGTGCTATTTTGCATCTACTCACCCCCATTTTCATCATTAACCTGTGATCACTTCTCCGATACAGTAAACCATTCCTTCCCGTTGATGACCTAGAAGTGATTTACTCATTCTCTTCCCTTGCTAAAGAAAGCTATATTTTGGCCGTAAACCAAGAAGACAAAGACCAGTAATACTAATGGACTGTGTCTTGCGATCTGTTAGTGAATGCTGATAAAAGTGGATTTATTTACGTTGACGACAGCTTTAACAGAAACCCGGTTCTGCACAGACACATGCAGAAACTTTCCAACAATTAACGACATTTGTTTAAGGTATAGCAACAGTGTGAACTTGTCCCAGCACATTGCATCTCAAATATCCAAATCAAGAAAGCTCATTAGTTTTGATTAACATCACATCATTCCTAACTATTATTGCATAAACCCATTATTCTACTATCAAGTTTCACAACGTTATTGAATTATTTTTAACTATTTTCAGAAACACATATTACCGTCTATTCTTATTGTTTCTTACAGAGCTCATTATTGTACCATTTACACAATTTACTATTCTCTCCTTTCTTTAACGACCGATATATGAATATAACAGAGTGAAGTTTATTTGATTAAGTCAGATTACGTTCTTCTGCATAGCAAATGAAGCGTTTTTGGATGACCCCTGGTAAATTATATCAAAGCACGAACTGTGTCCAATTTAATCGCCTCCAATTCTAGAAAGAGAATAAATTATATTGGATGTATGAGATACATCAAACGGTACAATCTGTTTCTCTAACTTAAACCAAGGCGCTAAACAACAAAGGGTTTAGTCAATAAACAAGAATTAGATACATGAGAATCAAAAAATATTCTTAGCAAGATGGGATCAGATATCTATCTCCAAGGATTTCAGCAACCTTCCCAAGCCAACAGTCAAAGGTTAACAGACACGCACTGAACCACACAGTGACCTTGAGTTTAGTCTAACACGACCTTTTTCCACAAGTCCGGCGACATGCAACAATAAAGTTGAGTAACGCAAGGTTAGTCTATGTCCAGGGCTACGTAATAAAGGCTTGGACGAGGGAGACTGAAGAACATAATATGCGAAGAAATTTGACCTGGATAAAGGCTAAACAACAAGATAGAGCAAGGAAACAACCAAGTGACAGTACTGTCCAGTAGAATGCTGTGAAGGTATTTTCAGCATGTACCTTTCACTACACTTCCTTTTTTCATTAAAGTCAGCTCAATATTATTCTAGATGCCATAGAACCTGTTTACATATACCGAATATTATGTGAGCGTCATTGAAACATGTATATAATTACAGTTCTGTAGAAACCCGAAATGGTTTCATCACAACACTTATGTACCAATAAGCTGTTTGTGAATTATAATAAACGCTATTCAGCAGATGATGGGATTAATATATGGTGCCATATCTTATCTCTTTTAGGAGTGGATCTGGTCATCTGAATTCGGTCATGAAAAAAACTTCACGTATTTTTGCGTAAGTATTTTGGTTATGATCAGTTAAAATGCACTAGAGTAAGAAGAGATCAGAGTTAGAGAACAGTGCTGAATAAAGGATGAGATAAGTGTTATTTTTCGGTTTAACGAAAGCATATTCTGCCGTTCGCTCATTTTTCCAGCCGAAAAAGGGCGGTCTATGAACATATTATAAGGTCATTCACTTCCTCAAGCTGACCACTGATCGGAATTCGGTTAATTCAGTGGCTTTCAAACATAACCTTCTTTCTCCTTCTTATCAGAGTCTAGACACTGCATAAAATTTAAAGCCCTTCTGTTTGCCCACCATTCAACAATATGAAAAAGTAATCCTTCTTAATTTATTCCCTATAGTTCTTAGACTAGGCGTCCCAAGATATCGTTGTGTGTATTTGAATTATTCTACAGACTAGGAATCCCAGAAATAATCAAGAAGTAATAGATAATCACGAACGAATGTACTGTGTTTGGAATTCGAAATCAATCATTCAACAAGTACAAAAGAATCATTAGTTCATATAAACGCTACACTGTCAGGCAATTGATTCGCTTCCCATTCTTATAGCACCGATCGTTGTAACTAGTAGTATTCTCTCATGAAATACTGGTTTGACAACGTCAACATGTTTTGATCTCTTGAGTTTACCATAATTAAAACCACAGGCGTCTTGTTTATCAACATTTATATTTAGCCATCGACTATTTATTTTCGGGTAACAGATAAGATTTCTCTTTATCTTTTAATAGCCACAATATTTCCTACCGTCCAAAGACATTCAAAAATAATTTCCACCAACTAAACAGTGTTTTCATGACTTCCAGAATTATGTCGATTTAGAAGCTTCTTTGCTGTTGTGTAACTATGTTACTGACCCTCCCTTATGAACAGATCTTAATAACCCAGACAGCATGTGACTATTGCAATGTTTTACTCTCCAAACAACACTCTTCTTGCCATAGACTTATGTGACCCTCAGTACATATGTTTCTTATATTTATGTCCCTATAACTCCCCGTCTATGCATCTCGTGGTTGGTTGTGTGTGTTTGTATATTTATTGTTTTGTTCAGTGTTTTTCATCTTGTCGCACTATGTATACCTATTATGAATTATGCCAAGGCTTGCATTATCATTCACACAACTAGGGTGCATTGGTTTCGGGATTTTATCTCAAAATTTCGACTGGAAATTTCCTGCATTCCCTTTGATTTAGGGCTTTTCTTCGAAATTTCACCAAAGCCCGTGGATATTTGTGAACTTTTATATGACTTTGGGGAAAATCCCTAAACATCCACGAAATTATTCGAAATTTTCCACAAATCGGAATTTTCTAAATATAGATTAGTATATATGACCAGTTATTAGTGTCAAAAGAGCTAGTAAGTTTTGAGTAGTAATCAATATGGCATGACGATAATACATATGAGCATTAATCAGAGGACTAATAGAATAACAGGATAGCATGTAAATAATCGATCGAAGAAGTTAGAGTGAAAATAAGGATTGATATAAGGCTGCGTTTCTTTAGTCGGACTTACTAACGTACAAATATGGTCTACTTCGTTATTAGTACTGCTCTAATAATAGACCTAATACTAAAATTGCAGATTTGTCATGATTTAACCGCCTTATCTATAAGATCGTACATGGAAGTCATATCATTGTCCGCACCGACTCATCGTACAGTAACAATCACGAAAATATGAAGATTGGGCTACTGGGATACTCCAGTATATGATTTTTTGAACACTTACGAAACCTCATTCGTCCAGGGGAGGAAGAAGGGAAAACATAAAATAATGAAATTTAAGTACTACATGGTACTGCTATCAGTAATAAACAGCATCCGGTTGCTCAAAACGTCACTTCTTTCTCAGATTCGTCAATATGTAAGGCTCGTATCAGTTTCTTAGCGCACCTAATAATAACGTCTGATGACTGAGGTGTTAGTATCAGTGATTACGTGCCTCACTCCTATCTCATTTGACTGTAGACAAACCCATTAATCTTAATTGTTTGTTCTTTTCATTGTTGGTTGTATGGCGCCTTACATTTACGGCGGGTTGCTTAAGGTCACTGGGTTTAGACATTGTATGGTTGTGGACTGTCTAAGTGTCAGCAACACTTGATTTTATCCTGCTAATTAGAATGCCGGACAGCAATGTTGGTAATGGGGTCGTGTTGTCAGATAAACCAGACAAGTTTATTGACAAAATCGGTCAGTTAGTTTGCGTCCTTCTAGCTTGCTTTAGATCCTGAGGATCCAGAGTATCAGAAAAGTTTAATGCGCCCTGCTTGCATAAAAGAAGATGTAAATTTGATGATTCAACGTCAGCGCGTGTCCGGCATATTGAAGTCGGATGCTTTCCGACGAGAACTGGAGGAGGTTATTCGTTCTCAGTGTCAATCTGGTGACTATCCTGGTATGAGCACTAGTCTTCTGTCTCTTCAACACATATCAGATTTATTCAATTCTGCCCCTTCTGGAAAACCTCTTGGTGGGGGTGGGTTTTCAAGAGGCAGGTCAACGTTTTTTCTTGCGTGTACATAATTCGCATAATTTGCTATTCCAGCAATCCATTGCATTCTCTGAGTTGATCAATATAATGTCGCACATTGTTGACCGTTATTCTTGAGAAGCCGTATGGGATTTTCTCCAGTTAGGTTTGGCAAATCGGTCCATATAGTATAGGTCATCTAAACTAACTTTCCAAATATCACTTCGCGAACTTAGTTTTATAGTCAATATATCCATTATCGAACTGTTCAGTTAGCCATCAATGACTTTGGAATAAAAGTTTTAAATAACCAAAACCTAACTTTATATGACTTTGTTGAATGTCGTCTCTTTAAGGTCGGCAAAAGTTTTTTTTATTTCTTGATGAGCGAATCGCTGGTTATAAGCTTTTTGAATCCTTATGAGAGAAAATTAGACAGATTTAAGGCATCTTAATGTTTTCAGCGCGATTCGCCAGAATATTATCAGGAAAATTTCAGAGGAACCCAGCGTATAATTTGCTTTCTTAGTGAAGCGTTTATCATTCAAGGTTTCCAGATCAGATAGTATGTCTATAGGTGGCGAGACTAATTTGTGGACGAACCAATCAGGTATAAGACAACAGGTCTTGGATTTTGGTGCAAAATTTACGCGTCCATTTGGATAAATTGAGTTTTGGCATTATAGCTTGTGTCGGTTCGTGATGAAAAACCTAAATCTAATTCCTAACCTTAACCATCAACTGAAAATCATAATTCTAATCCCCCACAATGTTTCATAACCGTCATTTGGTCCTAGTTACTAGGCGGACACTCAGTCACTTCAGCGCTGCTCAACGGCCGTCCATAAATTATAGTCTCACCCTAGAGGTTACCTCCGATCACATACGCCCTTTAGTAATGATGTCTTGGTACCAGAATTCCATCTTTGCTGCTATCTTCGCGTACGGATTCTGATGATGTTTATAAGCCGATACATAAATCATTGGTAAACGTTTTCAATGCTGAAAACAAGCTTTGTGGATGATTTCGCTTGAAAAATGGATCAAAAGAGTAACGTGGGGCAAACACGCGTGTAATACTTACTATCACGCCTGGATAAACAAAGCACTTCAATACTTACGTTTTTCTTAAATGCTTCTAAATGCAACTTTTTTGTATCTTTCTATGTAGAATACTACGTCATGTTTCTACCTTATTCACAGGTTTTAGTATTTTTCAACCCTTTTTTCAATACTGTTAGATTTTACGACTCAAAAATAATCGCGATTTCTTGAGTTTTGGAACTTGAACATCTAAAAGCATTCACTTATTGAAACACCTTAATCCCTGGTATCAAAGTGTTTCTTATACGCCTACACACTATAAAATTTGGAATCAAAAAGAAACAAGTTAAGATATTTCAGCGCAAAATTGCTGCAAGCCTTGAGTTTCCTGCTAGATTCCTGGTTATTAAACTTTTACTTTCTAAGTTGACTAACTCCCCTCTGGTTAAGACCTTAAGCATGATCGCTACATTTAATGATTACATGCATTAAGGATCTGCTCAAATCTAAATGTATTTGAAAGAGACTCAAACCTTCTACCTCACTGAAATTCTCATGTTCACATAACAGTCCTAGGTTACACGAATCACGTCTCATCTATTCTATATTAACTTGTGTGATGATGAGTACATTAAGGCAGTCTGCACAAGATGCCAACCAAGACTGATCAAATTTCAGTCAAACATCAACAACGGGATGGTCCAATCCATTTTAACTGTGTTTAGTTTCGCATTATGATCATTTACAATGCTCCGATTTTAATCTTAGTAGTTTCTTTACGCTGTCCATTTGGATAAATTGAGTTTTGGCATTATAGCTGGTGTCAGTTCGTGATGAAAAACCTAAATCTAATTCCTAACCTTAACCATCAACTGAAAATCATAATTCTAATCCCCCACAATGTTTCATAACCGTCATTTGGTCCTAGTTACGCTGTACACCTGCTTCGGTTTGGGCACCCGAGCAGTATCACAGCCCTCACACATATCGAATGAGATCTGTGTGGCGCATTTGTATTTGGTACCTCCTTGTACCAATGTCTATGTGTTAAAATAAATAATAAATTACGCTGTACTGATGTGAGGCACTGCAAATTGTATAAACGAATAAAAGTCCTTTTTACATTCGCTTCAGATTTATGTGAAAGATGATATACAGACCTTAATCTACTTTATTTGACCAAGTAATTCATCTTTTTTGCTAAACTCAAAGGATTCCGTTACTTAGTTTGCTTCCTTGGATATATTTAGTCTACAAATTACTCTATTTTTCATGTAACTTAAATTTATGCAGGGCATCGTAATGGTGTTATTCCGATAAATGACTTGCGTGGTGGTGACGCGACTGTTTATTCTCGACGTGAACGTTCTCTCCGTTGCAAACTGGCATCGGTATATCGCTTAATAGATCTTTTCGGATGGAATTCGAGTATATACAATCATGTGACTGTAAGTAACTTTTATTCTTTCAGCTTCCAAACTTTGTAAGTGGCCAATCAGCAACCGTCTAAAAGTAATCATTCGGATTATTAAGTACCTATTTCTGTTCACTTTTTCATGAACCAAACATTCCTTCGGAGCAAAAATAGAGGCTCTAGGCACATTTACGTCTACCATATGTTCACACATTCTAAACCTATTCTCACTATAACTCATCACAACTATCTCTTTCAATAGTTTTGCCGTCGAAGCTGTTCAAACCGAATAACATTCGAGAATTTTACTTTTATTTATTATCTATTTGCTTTATTTACTTAAGTAGGCTAGTCCTTTATTGAGATAAAATATGATAGTGATGTTCCTATATCAAGAGACTTGGGGATCGATTTTAGTTAACTTAAAATGTAGGTGTTTAATGTTGACTACTGAAGAAAATAAAGCACAATAGTGTTTCTTTAAAACAGATCCTTTATATTATTTCAAGTCATGCCTAATAGCAGCAAATTGCACGACCTTTAAAACATCCGGAGCTGTTTTGTTACTCCACCACAAACTGATTAGTCCCCAACTTCTTCCAATGCCAGCGGTAATTTATAATGTTAGGCATGTAGGTCTCTGTGACGTCATACGTTTTTATAATCCTCTCTTACGGTTATAACTCAGCAATTCCTATTGCTTAGTATTCTCGGACACCAATTCACTCGACAAGTCCCCGAACCAGAACGCGGTTGAACAGGAAAGAGATTATATTTCAAATAGCAAGGTTAGATGGAAGTAAGAAGCACAATAGGAAAAACGTTAGTATATTTATAGTTTTTACATGAGAAGATTTCTAGAGTATTCTCCAAGTATCGACTAGCGCTGATTGAACAAGAATTAGCCAATCAGCGTGCACCAACACAAGCGTGCATTGAGCATGCTTTAATCCAATCTATGTACCGCTAACATACGTCAAAGTGTTTCAAAAACACCTAGTTCAGTGTTTTTAAACGGTGTCTGAATAATAATCTTCGTTCCCAAAAATACATTCTCATCAGTATTATTCACTCAATATTACTACCAAATGCAATATCAAGGTAGTCAATTTTAAAGAGATTAGAATACTTTCAGTATGAAGTGGCCAGGTTTGAAAGTGTAATATCAGACTACATACAATAAGTGATGTACCCCCGACTTTCTCTAGTCAGACTATTGAAAGAACGGGGCTAAAGGTTACACAGAAGTGTATAAAGCGCTTTTGCTTTGGTACATGAAGATTAATCTCATCTATCGCACCACTCCTGGTACTCATAACAAGCCAGATACTATCACCAACGAACTACTTTTAATCTTTTCATAAAGTGTCAGCAGAATCTAGTTTGCAAAAGTTGAGGCTTAAATAATGATAACAGCACTATTTTTTTAAGCGATCACAACAAAAAGCCTTTGGGTTACAAACTTATGCTTAAACATAGCTTTATTCATTGAATTTCTGAGTCCTACCATAGATGTGAATTATATTTTGCCGGATCTTTTGAAAAGCATTTCTTATTGTTTCTCTTTTATTTATTTTAGGTCTGTGTTAGTCGCAATCATGAACATTATTTGGTTAATCCTTTCGGATTGCTTTATCATGAAATTACTGCTTCGTCTCTCATCAAGGTCGATTCCAAAGGTGAGCTACGGTAGTATGATTATGAACGTTACTTAATCTGAATTTTCTGGATGTTTCTATTCTGACTATACTCTAGGAACTTTCTGCTTTGATCACTGAATTCTAATGAATTTCCCACTTAGTAAATGTTGCTAGACGGTTTCTAATAATTTTTCGTTAGATTGGTAAAATTCAAAACACTGATGGTCTTTTTGATTTTCCTTTGGTTACCGTAAATGGTGTGACTCAACATTAAATGACTAGACACTCATTTTTATTTAACAAGAACTCAGCAAAATAAACTAACCATAAATCTATGTACCAATGATTTGTTCGGTTGTTTGAGAAAGCCGAAGTATGTTGGAAGATACCACAACTGAAAACTATGTACTTTCAAGTCTAGTAGCCCAATATCTAGCGAATTGGATTAGTCAGTTTTAAGCATTCTGACATGCATGATGATTTCTGCAACAAACCTGGTCAGCATGTACATGTTGTAGTTTTATTACCATTTGCTTTATTCTACTCAGTGTCACTATTTGGGTATTGGAATGGTAGTGAGTCCACATTGATACCTTGGCTTTCTTAAATTTTGGATTATAATTACTGCTTTAGATAGACTTACATAAACTTTAATCTCTGTTATTTTGACTTTTACTCACTAATGAGATTTTGCGTTCAGTTTTTGGTAACCCAGACTTTGTCGATGTGATTGGGAGTAAGTCGTTGAAGAGACTAATGATTTGAATGGATGTGATTGAGATGGAAAGTTTACTGGGAACTCAGGAGTTGATGGAATATATGGGTTATTAAACGATATAAATATTTTTACGCAATGAAATTGTGCAAAGCTTGTGTAAGGACCGAGAAACCTGGTTATCGGAGTGTGCTAACGAGTTGGGAACAACAGCTCCCAGTAACTGCCGGGAGCTCTTCCAACTTATCCAAATCATTGGATGCAAAAAGTCTGGTGTGTGAAATAATCTGTGAAGTTGACGGGATACCAGTTAATAACATCCACAGAGCAGAGTTTTCCGAGGAGCATTTCGACTGATTTGCTGCCCCGGTGACCGATCAGTTTGTCCTGCCCTCCGTGGCCTGTGACGACTGATCCACTTAACGCGGCCAAAGTCCTCAAGGAACTCCAACTTTTGAAGCGCTACAAATCACCAGGTCCAGATGACTTACTTTTGGCCCTTTTTAAATATTATGACTTTCTGGTTAAGGAACGGACTGAGTTGTTTACAAAAGTTTGGCAGTTAGAGAGTGTTCCAACATCGTGGAATGAGCCCATAGTTGTTCCTATCTTTAAAAAGCGTCCACGTCGTTTCTGCAACAACTAACTGAGGATATGTCTACTTCCGATCACGTCCAAACTATTGGCTCCCGTCATACTTTGTAGATTGTTCAAAATCCGGGAAGGAATGACTTATGAGGAACAGGCTGGTTTTCGTTTTGGTTCAGGATGTATTGATCATATAGTCACCCTCCTCCAAATGTTAGAACACCTCCATACTAATTCTGGGCCAACAACCGTTGTTTTTCTTGACATCAAGGCCGCTGTCGATTTGTTGGACAGGACTTCTCTGAGATTGTTTATTGGAATGTGTTCCTGAGTAAACTCAGGCAGAGTTTATTTTAACACATAGATATTGGTACAAGGAGGCACCAAATACATATGCGCCACACAAATCTCATTTAATTTGTGTGAGGGCTGTGATATTGGTCAGGTGCCCAAACCAAAGCAGGTGGTTTTCTTAGGGGACCACATCCCGAGCCTTTGACCTGAACGTCTGACCCACAAGGCGGTGGAGCATCGTAAGGAGATGCAGTCCCATGGTAGCCGGTGACCGACGATTGGTTCATACGCAATTTGTTCCTCCGGGATACTGGAGCCCATGTGCACCATTGGTTTGGGATCCGGTTAAAACGCCGGACATTCGCTTTTCGTCCTCTCAGTTTCGTAAACAACACCCCAGCCACGAGAAAGCAGTGGGTAGGACTTCCTTGGAAGAGGCTATATACGCGTGGCCATGTGAAAGCATTTCGAGAGGGAGAGCGGACTCTCCACACTCTCGGCCGTACCAGGGCGTTTGGGGGCTCAGGCAGAGTGAAGGACATACAACCACCTTTCTCTTTTATTTCATCAGACAGTGGGGTTACATAGGGTTTCCCAGTCTCACCATTGCTTTTCAAGACTTTTATTGATGACATTTAGTAAACAGTTATGATGGAAATGGGCAATGGTAGTGTGGATGTGATACTTGGGGGAATACTTCGACCGCGAACATGCAGATGATTTTGCCTTGCTGTGCGATGATACCCAAACCATGCAACCCGCACTTAATGAGTTAGAAATCAGTGTCCGTAGGTATAGTATGTACTTTAAACTTTCTAGGTGTAAAGTAATTTCGCAAGACTGGTAGGACCCTGATCCTGCACTCACCCTGGGTGGTGAGCAGATAGAAGTCGATAAATTTATATATCTGGGTAGCTTCATAGACCCTTGTGGTGGCATGAGTGATGAGATCAATTCACGTACAGTGAAAGCCAGACCAGCTTATGCTAACCTGGGCCATCTTCGGTGCCTTCATAATATTATTCTGATTGTAAAAGATCGAATCTACCACGCGTTGGTGATAGTTTTGCTCTATGCTCGTAAAATTTGGCCTCTCCAAGTTGAGGATGTTAGACGACTGTTTGATCACTGTTGCCTCTGAAGGATAGCTGACATCCAGTGGCAACACCATGTTAGTAATGCAGAGGTTCGGCAACGTGTCTTTAGGCACGGCGACGATAATTCAATTGGTGTCACCATTTCGAAACACCGACTTTGGTGGCTTGGACCAGGTCTCACGAACGTCGTCCCAACAAATTCTACATCGTGCATCGTTTGCCGACGCTGGGACCGATTTCAAAAAGAGATGTGGTCAGTGTATGACATGCCGTCGTAGCATGGAAGAAAGCTGTACAGGACTGGTTTTTTGGTCCTTTACAACTCCCTAATTGGGGTCCCAGAGATGGTGCAACACAGTGGATAGGAACGTTCACAGAAATAGCTCAAGATAAAAGCCAGTGGCGATCTCTCTGTAACTTACTTTTTTCATACAAGTGAACGTAAGTTCTCTAACTGAGAATTCTTTCTGGTTGTATTTTCGTTAACTGAACTGTCTCTCCAATTATCATTATTTCACTCTCATACACTAATTTCTGTTCATTGTTTTCTTTTTTCTAATACACACTTTACCCTCTCTATTCATTCACAACCTTGCTATGTTTTTGATGTCTTCGTGTATCGATGTTTATTTATTTAAATAATATAAACGATACAAAATGATTCCTTGCATTGTTTTTTCGCGCTTTCAGTAAATTATTAATCATTTTGGTTTATACGTAACTATACGTAATTATTTTTTCCTTTTACAGGCCAGATACTTGATCCAGGATCTACCATTTTAGGTGTAAATCAAATAACCTGGGCCTTACATTCAGCTGTTCATTCAGCTCGGGCTGATATCCGATGCATTATACACTTGGATACCCCTTCTACTGTTGCAGTAAGGACTGTATTTTAAAGTTTATTTGTTAGTACATTGAATGACAAACAAATTTATTGTTCTATCAATCTAGTCTTTGGCTTATTTTGAGAGGTTTTGTTATTCGTTGAAGATCATAGGCTAGTGTTTAAATTTATTATCCAGTTTTGATGTTTTCTTTTTAACGTAATTAATTTTAAGAAGAACTAAAGGATTTTGTAACCTTTACCTACTACAGTTTTGATGCAATGCCCAAAGATTAGGCTTAACAGTCAGGTCATAATTGATCGGAGAATAAATGGCCTACAAGATAATTTCCTTCAACAGCATATGACATTTTGCTGTGTGACGACGGACCACGGGTGAACTCGAGGAAGCTATAAGAGGCTCAGAAGGAGCCGAAGATATTCCATCCAATCACCGTTAGGAAGGATATTCTAGAATCCCTACGTGTAGCTTCCCGATTGGACAAGGCTAATAACCCCCTGTATGCGGATTGGAAGACTATAATGATGATTTTTGTTCTTACTAAAACTATAAATACCTGACAATTTGTACCCATAATTGACACTGGAATAACATTCCTTTCACTAGTCTTCTGTCTTCTCTTTGCGACTTAGAAGAGTTTGGGCGTTCGTGTGTTCAGTTGTACGCGTTATATCAAGTAAATCAACCATTTCTAGATATAACATGCTGTATCTAGTTTATGTTCATATTTTGTACCTAGGCTTGTTATGTATTAGATGAAAAAACATTCATCTGACCAGTGGTCTTGTCTTTGATTTCTAACCATTCCGGGGGCCTGAGTTAACTACACAGTCCCGTGAGTAGCCATCACTTGGTCCTATCATTGCGATCATCTATCGATCAGCATTCTATTCATCGGTTTTAATAATCTATTCAGAAAACTGACTCTGTAATAGGCATACACTACATTGTGTCCGTTGGTAAATAATTGGTATTTCAACCACGTTTAATTCAAGGGAAATAACAAAACTTCAAAAATTGGTAATGTTTTCCAATCCTTTCAAGTGTTTATACATAGAAATATAAAATAAGCTTTTATTGTCACTAGCGACGACAATAGACAAGTCGGTTTGTGCGTTTTAACTTTGATTATGATGTATATTATTTAAAATACTTCACTCATTTCTCTCAAGAGATTGAGAAGACCCTCAAAATAGTTGCGTTTCTACTCAGTTTATTAGTGAGCATATTGTAAACCTAAATACATTTGTCTATCATTAAAAACGAATAAATTGTATTCAGAAAGTGTTAGGAATCATGTTTTGAAATTAATCCACAACTGTTTTCTCAATGCTAAATGAATTAACTAAACCATATTTTTATTATGCAACCTCATTATATTAAATGTTATGAATCATTATACTTTCTCTAGATATCTTGTATGAAATCGGGTTTGTTGCCTCTTTGTAATGAAGCAATGATTTTGGGCGAAGTGGCTTATTATACTCCTAGCGGTGGATTAAGCTGTAGAACCAACGCTGACGCTAACGGAGATTTTGGTGATATTAAAGATTGGGCAGCTGAATGTGCAACAGTCAGTGAAGCTTTAGGTCCAACTGCTCGTATACTCTTTCTACGAAGTCTTGGATTACTTGCCTTAGGTGAAACGATCGAGGAGGCATGGCATTATGCAACTAATGCAATAGTTGCATGTGATACTCAGGTAAGTATTTTTTTTATAGATTCTATTTGTGTGCAGATGCGCTTCTAGTCAATATGCTATAATAGACTCCTCATCAAATACACTTACCTATTGTAGTTCAAAAAACCTTTTTGTCGTTATGTTAGTGGAATAGCGGTTATTATTTCTTATTCGCATTGAGATTCTAGAAACTTGAGTCTCCTCGATAAAAATCGATTAATTAAAACCACTTCATACTTTATTTTTATCACGTCCTCTACTTGATTACGGCATAATACGATATACAACGAACGGCTCTCGAACGTGTAGAACCTCACCGTCGCAAATCGGAAGACGGGAGATGCAGGAGGAGTGATTATTATTAGGTAAGAATCGAAAATGTACAAAAGACCTAGGTATTCATAGCTATTGGTATTGACTATAACATCATTATAATTCAGCCAATTCCCAAGGAGGCAAGTTGTGCTACCGCCTTGGTATTCTAGAAGGCTCTATCAGGTTCTGGTTGGGTGTAATCTCCGACTCCTTTGAAGCCCCTGGATTCTTCGTTGTGCTCTTCAAAGTTGTCTCAACAATTTCAGCTTTGGGTATTTTTCTGATAAATTTCAAGGGGATGTGTGGGCATTTTCACGTTTAAGGTTGACTTTTTAAACTGTTCTTCCTAACAGTAGAGTCACGGAATTGTTGTATACACATTATTCAAATGTTAGTTACTCCGAATAAAGTCTGCAATGTACCAATATTCAACAAAATGTTTGGTTCAGATGTGTAACTTCATAGACTAGCTCACAAACATGTATGTGGTTACTAAATTGTATATATTCAGTCAGAAACTCATTTCTCTTCACACAAGAGCTAACATCCTTGGTTTTATCAACGTACAATCTATCTTTCTAGCATTTATTTATTTCGGAATGCAATCATCCAAATCAATGACCTAGAAACATTTTATCTATTCTGGTACAGGCGAGAAAAACGTTTTTCATCAATGTATAAATAGCTGTTCATAATTCTGTTCTAGCTTTAAGCAAATCCTATTATTGTTAGTTTAAACGATGCATGTAGTAAACCTATGTAATATCAGTTTGCCATCATCGACGTAAATTCTTGGAGAGATATGTGTTGGCTTGAGTTGTCACACAATATTAGCACGATCATATGTATTATTTATTATTTATTTATTTGAACACATAAATATTGATACAAAGGGAACCGGACAGATATGCACCACACAAGTCATTTGATTTGTGTGTGGGCTGTGATACTGCCCGTGTGCCCAAACCGAAGCAGGTGGTTTTTCTTAGGGGACAAGCCCGAAGCCTTCCTAAAGGTCTGATTCAATGGCGATGAAGCCACGTCATGAGGTGCAGCCCCATGGTAGCCGGAGACCAACAATTGGTTCCTACGCCATTTGTTCCCTCAGGATCCTAGATCCCATGTGCACCCATCTGCATCCACCAACCCGATTAAAGCGCCAGACATTCGTGTTTCGTCCCCTCAATTTGGAAAACAACAACCCCGCCTCGAGAGGGCAGTGGCTGTGTACGCGTGGTCATGTGAGAGCATTTCGAGAGGGTGAGCTGGCTCTCCCCACCCTCGGCCGTATCAGGGAATTCGGGGCCTACCCAGACTGAGCTGGATTCCAACCTACGATCTATTTAATGGAAATTTTTGCACTTAGTCATTGCAATTGGAGAAGTATAAATAAGCTTAACAAGACGAATAGCCAGAAAATAGGAATAATATGGTGGCAATACAATGACTAATTTTATTAAGTAATTGCGGTAAGATATGTGATAAAGTTCAATCTATTATGTAACTGTGAATTCCATCTCCCACATCTTTCACATGAGTTTTGGTGGATAGATTTTCAGTAAACATAAGAGCTTTGGTGTGACCTTTTTAAATTAAGAAGTATAGGTTGTTAAATGTACTTTTCGAAATCACTGGCTTGATTGCTGGGTAACTTTTAACGACATTCGTATTAACTCCAGATAACATTTGCAAATTATAAAACACAAATTCTTGTTTATAACATTGTTTTTGTCACCAAATGTGATAATTAGTATTACAATTATTCGTTTTGACTCATTATATTCTGGACACACTACTCGTTTCATAGTGCGAGGTTCTTCTGTCATTTCACGTTTTATTTCCTGTAAATTCATTAATCAGTGAAAAAAGCCTTTCAACACATGGTAAGTTCAGTTTGTACAATATTAAAACATTCATAATACATGTTGATCTAAGTGAGATTATAATATCATCAATTTAGTCTGTCATTTATTCCTTATTTCTAAAAACAACTAATGTGTACGTTTTAGCTCTTATTGGCCTCAGTCAGTGCCGAAAATCTCATTCTCCCTACAGAAAAACTAAAGCAAAAAACTTATGAAACATGGCGTACAGCTGGATTAGGCGGTCTTAGTGGTCCTGAAGCTGCACTAGCTATGCGACTATCTTCGCCTAATAAATCTGGTACTAGTGAAGCAGGACAACATTCAGTTACAAATGGTTTCATCTCAGATGGTTCGAATGTGGAAAGTAATTCGGCCAGACCATGGCGCTTAGGTGAACTTGAATTTGAAGCTATGATGCGTCATTTAGATAACGCTGGGTGTCGTACAGGCCATCTTTATCGGCAGGTAGTGTTAATTTTGTTTCATGTAGTATTTGTTAATTGAGAATAACATACTTTCACTAATTCTGAATCTAATGTCAAGCTTTTCCCACTAATTGTTTGTTTTCTATTATTCTTTTAGCGTAATTTTCCTTTATGGTATTTGAATTTAAAAAGTGTAACTCAAGATGATTGGAAGTTTAGTCAAGTCAGGACATGTATGATTGTACTGTCACATAGCTTTTTGATCTGCTAGTGGGTAACTAAGTCACAGAACTTGTAAATGGGCAAAACTAGCATTCAGAAAATTTCATCTTTAATGCCTCCTTTATCTATAACTATTCGACTTTGGTATCAACAAGTTTTACGTTCAGGTTTGCATTACTTGCTATGTGCCTATTATATAGTTATTGTTTTAGCTGTCTAATTATCACTCCCTTTCCGTTGGTATCATCTGCTAAAATAAGTAGGCGAATCCCATATTAGGGATATAATGCTATGTAGATAGTGTTGCTATCGTATTAGTAATTAGCATTCAGATATAGCCAACAATAGTATTTTAGAACCTATAAAGTAGTACAAATTTATCCTTATCTAATCTCGAAGAATTTCTTTTGCCTAATATTTCACATCACTAACTTTGTGTCAAGTTTTAATAGGTCCAATCACTACTCATTGCTACTAATAACTCAGTTAACTGAACTATTCTATTCATAACATCTTGTGGCAGATACTGTGGTATATTAACTAGGGCAAACGCACATTTGTCCCAGACTCTACATTATAACTGATATATACATTGAAGTTTTCAGACCTACTGCTGAATCTGTGTTCTTAGACAACTTACTACAGCAGTTAGCAGCATAGACAAGTTTAGATATTAGAGTAGTTTATGAGTTTTACTGCAGCACATTTCTAAGTGGCCAATTTTGACGAGTGTTCTCGCACCAAAAAGGACATATTTATCGGTAAAATGTTACATACTCGCTAAAACATCACACGATAGTCCATTAATTTAAATTGCTTTACATCAAAATAAAACAGGTAAATAATCAAGAAGTAAAAAAATACAAAATTTGGAAGCAAAATGGGAAACGATAGAGTAATAATGTTTTTATCATACTTATCACAAGATAACAAGTGAACGCATTCGCAACAGATATTCAGTCATTTCACTTAATAGCTCCAATCATTAATCTGTTGTTTCGCGAACTTCAGTAAATCTGTCATTTTACATTCGACAAATTAGTTGTGAATAACCTCATGGAATACTGTTGTATCTTTACTCGGTTCAGGTCAAGCTTTTCCAGTTTACTCTGCTCCGAGACGATATCATTTACTGTCAACAATAACCAGTTGAAGTCGTGCGACTTTGGACCTACCGCAATTTGAAAGTGTTATTAGGTTAATTGCTATACACTTCCATCATACTTCAGATACTTGAAAACGTCGATAATTAAGTAAGGAACTTTGTATAAAAACAAATATAATTCCATTTTGGCAATTAGGCTATTGTATCGACCATATATTGAGACTTAAACCTCCAGTTTATGCTATTTCTATTATAATTATGCGATAACCTCTGATCTATTTAATTAAAACCGGCTTATGAACATTTTGCGGACTACTTTTCAACATATTATTTCTAGGAGGCTATGGCGAGCCCACATCGATCACGAAAAAGTAAGGTCGTGAATGGATACGGTGGGGCTGGTTGTCAGGACGACGATATACAAGTTCCACCATCTGCTTCGTCTGTAACTGCTACAATGGCTTATTATTATGATGACGGAGTTCTTTCGGGCGATGAAACGGAAACACCTAGGCCATCGTAAGTTTAGTTATCGTCTCTGATACCTCACTTTTCTAATTCATTTGATAATATTCATCGACAGAACCTGTAGCTTTATCTCATGTTGGCAATTCACAGATGTTGAGGACAATCGATATCACAGTAACTACACTAATATCTCTATATGTATTACCTAATTCTACCGTTTTCTGTAATCAATACTTAGTGTCTTTAGACAACAGCATATCTTCAAATTTCTATCAGTTGGACTTTCATTTCTCTTCTCACAACTCTAGATAAGGTGAAAATTCTTTTAATTTTTTCAGCTGTTGCATAAATGAATCTCGTTTAATTTTTAAGTTGATATTCAGTTAGATTATGACTAACTCTACTGCTCAACGAATGTGTCTGTGCAACCGTGTTCATTTTGCCCCCAAATGCCCTGGGGAGAGTCCGATCTCCCTCTCGAAATGCTTTCACATGGCCACGCGTATATAGCCTCTTCCAAGGAAGTCCTACCCACTGCTTTCTCGTGGCTGGGGTGTTGTTTACGAAACTGAGAGGACGAAAAGCGAATGTCCGGCGTTTTAACCGGATCCCAAACCAATGGTGCACATGGGCTCCAGTATCCCGGAGGAACAAATTGCGTATGAACCAATCGTCGGTCACCGGCTACCATGGGACTGCATCTCCTTACGATGCTCCACCGCCTTGTGGGTCAGACGTTCAGGTCAAAGGCTCGGGATGTGGTCCCCTAAGAAAACCACCTGCTTCGGTTTGGGCACCTGACCAATATCACAGCCCTCACACAAATTAAATGAGATTTGTGTGGCGCATATGTATTTGGTGCCTCCTTGTACCAATATCTATGTGTTAAAATAAATAAATACCGTGTTCATTTATGCACTATGATTGAAGTAAAACTGCCAAAGCCGAATGATCTGCTTTGTTAGTGTTCAATCACTACTAACTTATCGACATTAGTCAGCAAATAGTCCCTATGTAGTAAATAAACTACACGAAGTTATTGACATTAAACAGCTGATATTGCAAAGGCTTATCTTTTCCAAACCACCAGAATCAAGTCATATGCATATCCATGTCCCAATTTATAAACTACACTTGAGTGGACAGAAAATATTATTGTAAAATTTTTCACGATAGTTTTTCAAGTTTGTTTATATAAAGTATATAATAACTTCTCTCACTTAGTAACAACATTAAATATTTAAATTTATTTCAGAACTCTTAGGCGCGAGTTTTCGGAGAAGCAATGGTTTAACACACCAAACAAATACACCAAAGAAGTAATTGAACCTGCTCCAGGTCATCAACCAGTTCCGCATTGGGTTTGTGAACGTGAAGCAGCTGTTCATAATGCTGTTTGTAATGGTGCCCTACCTCCTCCGGCACCATTTCATCCTTTAACTCATGGAGCAGTACCACTTGGTTCAACTGGTGGACCGGCAACAGGGACTTCGTCAGTCATGTCACCCTACAATGTATTTGCTCCTCAAGGTTCTAATCCAAAAGAATATCGCGAGCAGCAAAAGAAAGTAAGCTGTATGGACCTTTAAAGCATCTTCATTTTGCACATAATGGAATCTATTCGAGTTTTGGGTTTTTATTTTTTGGTTATCACAATATTTTCTTATGTATTAGTGGTAATATTAACTCTCGCATTGACTAATGAGTATAAATCTACTGTACCAAATGTGTTTGTGCACAAGTTGAAACAGGAAAATGACAAATACTCATTAAAAAAACATGTTTTTGTCATGAGACTTCGGAATGATGTACACATACAGTAGTGGATGTATCAAATTATATTTAGTAGAGAAGCTATGACAAAAATATTCATAATTAAGAATGTAACAAAAAATGTTTACACACAAAAAAGTATCCGTCTAAACCACAATAGTTTTGTCAGCTTTAATTAATTAACCGCTAGGTAGATAGGAGCAAGAGTATAATAAGCAATAATATATGCCAGGTGTATCAAAGATTTTGCTTCCTTGTTAGATTGATTATTTTTAAATATTATTGGTTTTGTGTCTAGCACAGAGGATTTTATATTCGATGGGTCAGTTGTTTCATTTCTAACTGCTTATCACTACTTCTCTACCCTGTAATTGTAATTATATGGATTATCCTAAAATATTAATAATATTCTAAATAGATCACCTTTGAGCGTCAAATAAACCCATATTCTCTGATCTATAGCAGCGTTTTTCCATCGATATTTGTAGCACTGGGTATGTAATCATAGTATACATTTATATATTTCGTTTTGATTAAGGTCAAAGCGAAGTATTACCATGATACAAATACTGCTGGACCTCAATCTCGACTGTTGGATGGTCTCACATGGGATGAAGCTCGACGAGTTCGTGACGAAGGTTTAGTCAAAGTATTGGGTCCAAGAGCGGCCGCTTTAGTGGCAGGTGGTGTTGCTAACGAAATGCCTGTAGCTGCAGCTAGTAAAGCAATTATCCAACGTGATATACGAAACGCAGCAGTGATATATGATGTAAGCAATTTGTGTGTGTACTTTTTCTACATTCTGTCAATTTCAAGTGGAGTGGAGTGTTAAACGGTTATTAACATGTCAATGATACATATGTATATATATTACTAGCGTTGTGTTACTTTATTGTTTCGATTTGTTGATTAGATCAAGTTTAGCTGTCACTTACGTCTGTGCGCTACTAATTAACATATTTTGTTTATTTCTGCGCATTGATTTCATTTCTCTCAGGTCTGTAAGTTTCATTCTTTATTCATTTATTCTAGAGTGGTGTCCACGTAGTTCACGTAAATTTGTGCTTTTGAACTAGCGAAGTTGACCTCAACAACATAAGATCATTCAATCAATATAAACAAAGAAGAAATAGGGGGGATTATTGGCATTTTTCATTTATGTAAAGCTTAGTAACGTTTGTAAAAGTCGACTGTCATTTTTCAATTTTATTGACACAAACTCTAACACAATAAAGAAAAATTTAACGATAGCACTTATGCAGATCCAGGTTGATACAGTCTGATACAAACCCATAATCATCTGATTGTTAAAAGTCAAGTTTATGTAACCTCTGTTTAACTATTTGTCCACTTACTTCGTTACATTAGTACGTCTCGATATGTGTGCTCGTGAATCAATAGTATTATAAGCTTAATATAGATAAAATTAGAGTAGGTGCACACAGTTTAAAATGTCCATCATATTCTAACAGAAAATATGAGGACATACCCCTGTTGTATTCAGTGTTCATAAGTTCTGATTAAATGTCATTTCATATCATTGGCAACATTTTTTATGATTTTAATGCATGTCAGTTAACTAAATTTTACTTCTTGAGTGGATTATAAAATGTTTTATCTCTTCCTTCTAACTGCATAGCGATAATTCATCTCTTTTGTACTCACAGGGTCTTTATTCTCATCAAAATCCATTCGAAAAAATTACCGATGAAGAATTAGAGATGTATCGACGTGAAATTGAACTTAAAAATAATCCTGATTTAGTTGCCGAGATGGATCATCATCTTACTGGACAGAATGCATCTTTCGAAGCTCCTAGTTCTACTACACATCTCATAGATTCGTTAGCCGTTGATAGCGGTGCTACGGATCTGGAAAGTGCCAGCGAACTTGGTCCAAGTAATTGTTTTATTGATTCTCTTTTCAAATTTAAGGGCACGAGTTTTTCTTCCATGAACATGCATGAAAAAGTATAAATTATGCAATCAAATTCATTCAGATTTTTAAAAATAAATTTCAGAAAAATCTTTGCGTCAGAATATTTATAGATATTTATTCTTCGCTTCTCTAATTTATTCTAACATTTAGTAACATCTGTCTTGAATTTGTTTATTTAACGAACATCAGTCCTTAGCCTTTTCAAGATTGTTTGTTCAGTCAATCAAATTGATTACTTGAAGAAATGTGTAACATGTGAAAAATTTTTGAATTCCTATCAAGATTTATTCTCTTTCATTTAAACTGGCTTCTAACCAATAAAAATAACTAGGAATTTTTATGAAATAAGTGTAATAAATGGTAGATGTTTGTTTATGTTACCTGATTCAATCAATTATGATTTTTTTCTACACTGGAAGTGACTGAATAACCCTTCCCGCATAAAAAATATCTTACTCACAAATATGTTGTCAAGCAGTAAGTAAAGCTATCTTGTTAAGCAATCTTAATCCTACTTATGATGAGTTAGTTTTACAGTTAAATTCACGGGTCGATCTAAGCTTGATCACAATGGACGACCGTTTCATTCTAGTATAGGACTCCTTAGCAGTGCGGATCTACGATCCTGCACGCGGGACTTGAACCCAGGATTCAATTGCCAGAAGCTTTACCATATGAATAATTACTGCTCGTCGCTACATCTCGCTCACTCTTCCTTAGCGTAAACTATGTAAACCATTCGTTTTATTTGACTTAATGCATTTTATGTGTAGTGACTTAAATAAAAAGATAAATTTGATGTTTTTATCTTTCATTTATGTTAAACATCAATGGTTTGGTGAATTATTTCTTGGTTTATTGTTACACCATCATCGTATAACCCTTTCCGTGAATATTAATTTGAACATGTTATCCCTCACCCGACAGCAGTTTAAGTTATTTTAAGTTAAACATTTAGATCAGTGTATAATTATTACCTCATTTACTTGATATGTACATAAGAATGAATCTAAGCTTTATGATATAAGTGCATGCTTATAGCAGTTTCAAGTATCACTTATTTAATAGTTGGTTCACATTTGATTACAATTTTTAACGAATCAGTTTGATTAGCTAGCATGTGTTTCCGTTATTGATCTGTGTAATGATAACAACATTATTGCATACCTTTACTATTGATAATAATTGTTTAATATGTGTAATACTAATCTAATGGTATACTTTTTGTTTTCTTTTTGTTTCTTCCTAACTCGTTTACCTGCTTGCCTGCATGCCACTCTCCTCTCCCAACCCCTCTAATTCTTCATTGTTCGTTCAATGGGAAATATAAATTTGTTCTTTTGCTGGTAATAATATATTCTACCGATTGGTGTGTATTTTATTCTTGGTGAAATGATTTCAGCTATTCATTCATTATCCGAATTATCTCCGTCTGTACATAATGCAAGAGTTGGAGAGATTCGTCATTCGGAGACGTACCCGATCGACAGTCCGGTTACTGGTCGGTTAAAGAATTCATACAATAATTTGTTTTTTTTTTAATTTAGTGCTCTGCCACTTTCTTATATGTTACTAATACCACTGCTATTGTTATTATTAATATTATTGTCTATTGAAATTCCTTTACTTAATTTTGACACTGGGTATCATCTATCTGCATTTGTGTTACAGGTCGCTTAGCACCACCACCTACTTCAGGGACACTGACATCGGAACCGAGTGGAACTGAAGATATGAGTGAAAGTGATGTAAGCTAATTATTTTTAAACCTACCTGCCACTATTTCGTTTGGGTGGTTAGATTTTGTACCGTTGAATTGCTTGAAATTTTGTGCTAATAATTTTCCGTTCTATTATTGTTACTGTTTTAGACTTAAAATATTAATATTTATGTCATTCCGTATATAGTAATGATCAAACGTTCTGCTACAAATCGTTGAAAATATAATGGAGCCACTTTACGTGACTTGAAGTTTTCGACTAGATGACAAAGTTTGAAAATGACGGAATAGTTGTCATTTTTATTGCAAAACTAAACAGATCTGTAAGCATTTTGAATGAGCCTAAAACGGTGTGTTAAAAGTAGAATAATTGTCGATTCACCATTCCAATACATGAAATACGAATAAATTTAACACCTATCTGAAAAATTTCCCATCGTTCAAGTCGTTTGATTTGTAGAAATGAATCCCCAGTTTTATATTAATATCTTGATATCAGTTTTTAACAAGGCTGTGAACCCTACACATCCAGTGAATAATAATATACCTTACATCTGACTAACAAACAGAATTAAGGTGTAAAATTAAATACTGTGTAACACTTTGTTGTTACTTTACGGCCTATTCAGTACAACGACATGGTGTTAGAATCCAGTAACGTTAGTTTTCTTTCAAATAATTTTGATGAATTATAACTTTCTAGTTTTGGAATGTATAGTTAGTACATGCTTAAAATTTTCTGATCATTGTATCCATCATAAAAAGAGGCAACGAATGTCTTAAGAAACTAAATACTAATCATTTTAAGCAACTGAAAGTAATCTATAATATTCACAGACTCCCATATTGATAATTATCATGTCCCGATTAGTAAGCAATTTCTACAAGGTAATTCCAGAATTCTAACGAGAAGCTGTGACCACGGGTTCGAACGTGTCGGGTGTGAGGCAATAATAATAATAATTTATATATTCTGAAAATAATAATTACAGAATTCACGCCAGTTTACAGGCATGATCAATTTGATATAATTAGTAACATTATATGTACAGAACAAACATGTGATAGAAGAAAGTTTTAAGTATACTAGTTCAGTAATTGTTTAAGTAGTACATGTATTACAGCGATCCAATGCATCAGCCGGAAATTCTTGATTTTTGTTAAATGGACAGCCTGTTGTTTTATGAATGGAGTAATTAAGGTCATTTCGTGTGCCAGATCGAATTCATGATAATTATTTACAACAATTAAAACGAAAACAGAGAGCCCGGAACAACAAAGCAGTATTTACCGAAATATTTCAATCAGATCTATCAAAATGCGTATGTCATGTGACACAGTGATATACTGTTGATGTTATTCAAATTAGTTAAACTTGCTAGGGACGGTGTTAACATTAAGTGACAGCAAGTAGGTGGTTTTGATTAGGGAATGCACTGATAAAGATGGCTAAACATTTAAGGTTTCCAAAGACAATAAAACATAGTTGGGGTACATCACGAATTAATTGACGTTAAATATGTATGCCATTCTAGTTGGTTTATAGGTTAGGCATTCGCCGCAAGTCGTGGTCCCTTTTCCGACCCTCGATGGGGTCGTGAATATGTACTAACGAGGAGTCTCATATTAGGACAAAACATTTGTGTAGTTTTTCCTGGTCTCCAATAGTTGTATAACTTAGATCGGTTCGTAAGTTCTGTAATCTCCCGAAACTTAATTTCCTAATCGTATTCATCCGTCCTGTATAATGCTGTAACTTTTTAACTGATTTATTATAGATTTTTTTTTACCAATATGTTATCTTTTACATTAATGTCTTTTATTTTTACAGGGTAAACATAAAAAGAAAAAACGACGTTTCAAACTTCCTTCATTCTCTTTAAAACCTAAAGACAAATCAAAGAGTAAATGATAAGCTATCTCGTTTGAGTATGAATAACTACCAGCTAATTTGCATTACGCTTCACAATTTCGCATCACATCGTCGCTAACCCTACAAGATATAGATAAATAAATATAACTAGTAATTTCGCCTACATTCTGCACACACATTTGAGAAATCATTCCTCTATTATTAAATGTTTCTAAAAACTTAACAGAACATCTTTAAAGTGATGCGATGTGTGGCTGTGCCTTAAATTTCCACATGATTATGCAAATTCCTTAACCGTAAGGGGATGATAACTTGGCGACTATTTTGGTTTTAAAAGATGTGTGTAATAACTATTGTTGACTTGTAGCTACTAGAACATAATAATTGGGTTCATTTAATTTATTATGATTATCTTTTTCCGATTGTGTTTCTCCTTTTTTCCTTCACATCTTTCCTTCATATGGACGTTTCACGAGGTAGTAGAATAGAGGATGAAAAGCCGTCCTGTTGTATTGGATCTTTTTTTTGAGTTTGCTTGTTCGTTGATATTGTTATTATTCCCGCTAATTAATATGCTTTGCTTTCCCTTGGAAAAATGACACATTTTGTTTAGGATATTTGATTTTGCGAGTAATGTATCACTAGATCACTTACCTTTCCCCCTGCTGTTCTGATTTAATCCCACTCCCAGCTTACTATAATTCTAACAATTTTTAAAATCATATGTAAAGTATTATTCTCTTAATTTTTGACTATATTTAATGTTGTCACCATCCACATTCTATTTCTCATATTTTCTTAATTCCTGCACTGTACTACTCCGTCCATATTTTCATATACATATATCTGTCAACGAGCCGGTAATTACAGTTACCTGTTTTTTCAGTTAATATGAATCAAACGAAAAGCCTAGATTTTTTTGTAGCATTTGGGGACTCAATTTTTCATTTCCCTAAAAATCGACTTATATGCTTCTTACTATCCATGAATGTCTGTTGCCTTTATTCAATATTGTTGTTTTCCGCATTATTTTGTTTTACCTGTATAGTTGTTAACATTGTCAAGTTCACGTGTTTTTCCCCTTGCTACTTAGTTCGATACACATAATTTTATGCTTTTTAAGTAAATGTTCCATTTAATAAATTATATTACATAAATAAGCATTTGAATAAACATCCCTTTCTTATTTGTGCTTATGCTTAACCTGAAACCCTGATTTTCACTTCTTTATTTTTCGTTTTAATTTTACGCCAAATTATTTCTTCTGTATTGTTTTTTTTTGTGGTTCTTTAAACGTGAGACCCTGAAATTGTCCCACTAATATATATATATTTGATGAGTACTAAAGTTTTCTGCTTTTTTACCATCTTCCTAAATATTGTTCAGTAGTAGGCGTTGTTGACTTTCATTACTTATGTTGGATTTTTTCTCCCACAGCTTCCTTGTCAGTCACTTGATAACTACAAGTTGTAGTGAATAATATTTCGTTAATGTAAATTAATTTTTAGTAATATTCATTCCTATTTGCTGTAGCATTCTCCACGAAACCCTCGTTTCATTATAGTTTTCTTTTTAACACGAAGCTCATGAATAAGTATCAACCTTTACTTCTATTAACAGTTTTTGGAAATTCCTGCTTATTTTGCACACTTGTTTATAAGTATGAAGGTGGAGAGGAACTTGGTTAATTCCAAGGTTCTACACTTATTCTGTCATGCAGCTATTATTTATCGTTCACGTTGAGATATTTTGTTGAGTACTCAGATTGTTGTAACAACTAACAGAAAATCGGACTTCTGGTTTTAGTACACAGACTTCTTTAAATCCGTTATTCACAATTTAGACTGAGTTTAAAATTTGCTTGGAGAGATTTATTGTTAAGCAAATGAAATCTACCCAAGTAAACAAAATGTGCACGATCACAAATATATACTTGATTTCCGAAATGATATTAATTACAGCAATTGTGATAACAGAATCCTGCTAAACATAGTAACAGTGAGGTAGAATAAACAAAGGTATAGAAACGTTATTTTTATTAGGGAGCTAATTATAATTTTGCTGTTGAAGTGTTGAATATTCGTCATGAAGATAGATACGAAAAATATAATTAGTAAGGAAGGCTCAGCGTGTTAAGATGAAATATTGTTACCATGTTTAGCAGGATTTTATTATAACATTGTAATTATTATCATTCGTAAATACTTGAGTTTATCCTCTGAGAGTGCATAACAGTTTCTATCCTTGGTTGTAGTAAGTAAATTCCAAGCCTTTGTAGATGTTTTTAGAAACTCGACCATCTATATTTTACTTAAAAGACTCGTCTGTGCGATGATCAATATGTGCATTTTCACCTTCTCACTGAGATTATTTATTTGGTTATTTTCTGTATGATCAAGCTGGTATTTATTAAAAACGATAAGTAGTACATTTTGAATTTGCTTGTTTATGAATAATAAAGATTATTATTCATATGACGTTTTTTTAGTCTAAAGAATTTAGTGATACGATTTCACAAGCTTATGTAAATGCTATTGGGTTATATAACGCGTTTTATGTTCTGACGTTGGCTTATAATGATTTCTAACTTTCATCCATGTAACTCATTCAATAGATGATGTCGTATGATATAGCTAGAAATCAATCTCATTTTCTGTTTCTTGCTTTTTCCTCACATGGAGATCTGAATATATTTTATGATTGTTTACTACATATCAATTATTGCATTTTCATTGGTTTATTCGGTGTTCTGTGTTTGAATTTCTCATTTTTTTTAAAGTCATTAATTTCAGCCTACTGATCTTATCAAGGTTTTTTAAAAATTCGATTACTGATGAATTTAAAACTTTTCTCAATAGCTACATTATTAAGAGAGGAAGGTAATGTTTTACAACTGGCATGTTCACTTAGACACCTCAAATTGAGGTCATTAGATTTACTTGATAAAAACATTGTCATAACAATGCGCTGCAAAATGTTATTATGTTCTATATATTTGTACACTCTAAACATATACAATACATGTTTGTTAGGGTACAAGTTGTATCGTCTATTATTTTTAAATTATTATCAAGGAAATAAAATTCCATTAAAATAAGTTTTGCAACGATCTCGATTTATATAAAGAAAAGGGTCACACTTTAATACATTTGTAACTAAATTCTCTCACAAAGTTGAACAATCTAGTTAAACGTTACTGAAACCAAAAAAACAAGCCGATGTAGGTTTTGCGTGAATACCTACACTAAGTGATGTATTTTTGAAATAATTCTCAACAATAAACTTGGCAAAAAATGACTTCTAATAATACGCCAAAATTCCATCAATTACAATACAGGCAATTATCGTCGATCATATTAGTGCTCAATTTTCAACCAGGTGTAGCATTTCTGCATGAAAAATGCTGCAGACTTGTCTATATTTTAAATACTTCCGAGCTGTTAAGATTTCACATTATCAGCGAATGCTGAAAAATCTGTTGGTAATCTATATCAATCTTTTATGCGCCAACCTTAGAATATGCATCATAAATGAATATACGTTTCAATGAAACTTCTATTTGGAGAATATTTCTTGAACTATTTATATCAGTAGGTGATCAGTAATCGTTTCTCCGAGTTACTCTTTCATGTATGTAAATCAGTATCATGGATTCGACATCACACGTTTAAGCTATCGTTGGTCGTTATGTATGTGTAACTTTTTCATGATTAGTGGCGTCGCCAAAACAAGGTATGTAACGAATTGAAGCACCATTGCATTTGAAATATTAAATTTATTATTAGTGAAAACCTTAATGTTGCAGACATGCTAATATCTCAGTTGGCTTGGTATGATTGTTTATAACCTGTTGTGTATATGCCTACTTCAAATTTGATCATTCCGAACTGGTATCAAATACATTCTTTAGTTATCGGTGGATGTTCAAGTTTATCCAACTTTATGGTCAGAGATGTTTTCATTTCTGTCAAAACAAATTGAATGGTCTTTTCCTCAATAACTACATTACAGATCCATAAATCATGACATTTTAGATGTTGGTGCAGAACAAGGAAACTCATCGTCGTTAATCAATAAACCAATTACTACCTCTAGAACTATATTTCGGGTATTGAAATAAATCACTCGAGCTTTAATCATTGAGTTCAGTGTGACTGACAGTAATTAATATAAATAAATATATTTGAATGATTCATTTTCAAGGGTGGGCATGTTGCCGAAAATATGTGAATCTTGATTGCTATTAATGTGAGAAATAATTCATTTTCATGAGACAGTAGGAACTGGGTATTCCACTGAGATATACAGTTGCAAATCACCTGACAAGCATTTTTTTAGGATTTGATGTCAATCACACATTAGGACGTGAATGTTTTGGTTACTGAAGCATGTCAGAACTGATTATCGATAGAATTGTTTTTCATTGTTCACCCACAAAATTTTAAGTCACAGCACTCGTTACAGTTCTCTTCATTTTATACAATTCAAAAGAGGCAAGATAACAAACTTATAGCAAAGTAACATTGTAAATTACGAGTTACCACTGTTATGCTTGCGCGACGTTGCTGTTAATGTGTGTTGAGTCGGTGATCCTGAGGCTTATGCTTGAAAGCTGAAAACTACTGCAACTCATCTATCCTACTGCTTATAGTTTGAAACAAGACCACTGCAATTCCCACGATGCTAAGTGATAACACGAAAGATTGGTCCAGTGGAGATCTATGGACTTTCCAATAACAAGTTCCAAAAAATAGCATCCTAATTAAGCAAAAATACAGTTATTTTTACACAGTAATATTATTTATAGGAGAAAATACATATAGATACTGTAAAATTATACTGAATATCGTTCATCTGAGTTGATACAGAGAACTTAAGTTCACATTGGTCATATGAAACAAAGTTGTACTGAGTGAATACACGAAATATTTACTATAAAAAGTCACACTGAATAAAGTCCACACCTGTCAACCAGGCTAAAATTCATAATGAATTCAGATAAAAAAATTCTGGTCTGAATAATATCTTTTATCTTATCAAACATTAATTCATATTTTCTTTTTAATCAATTCTCATCATTCTTTATCTTAATCCAACGTAAAACAATTTTGTACTGAAAAAGATAAACAGCTGTAACATACGTCAGCAAGGTGTACCTGTAATCATTGAGGGAACTGGTGCTCCCTGGCGGACTCGACCCCGTGTCACCCAGCTTCACAGTCAGAGACGTTACCACTGAGCTATCCGGGCCGCGACCGACCTCCTGTAGGACTGAGATGTAATCACAATTGATTGATCACTGGGTGACCAATGTCATGCGTGATCTGCACTGATAATAAGGACTAGATACGCATGACATTGGTCACCCAGTGACCAATCAATTGTGAACTGTAACATACCTTTACCATATTCATATTGACGTACTGATTGATTCGAGTTAAACAATAACATAGATATAGTTTGATTAACCGATAATGAATAGGACGGAGTTTGTGATTGTAATTATTTCTAAGTGCTGTAATAGGAATATTGCAAAATTTGTAACTTTCAGAAGTATCTTACAAAGAATTATGGTTTGTACTTTTATTGTATAATTATAATACATTTGAATTACTGTTTATAAACTTTCGTTGAGTGCATGAACTTTTGTTCTATGTTGTTAATTTATTATGGACTTGTTTAGTTCTCATTCACTTACTGTATAGTCATGTGTATAATGTACTTTCCTATTTTTGCTGACCTGCGGTCAAGTAACTAATTTACATTATAATACAAATTAAAAAGTCGTACTATACAAGTAGAAGTTACCTGCCCTGTTATGTTTTATTTTGGTTATCAGATAAAACGTTTGTAGGAAGCTGCACTATAGGTCAGTAGAGGTTATGTATTAATGTCGGTCGTTATCCTACTATCATTGAGTTAATAATCAAATAAAGTTCGTTGTGTGGTTGGCTAACAGAAAGTTATTGGTTTTATGCAAGCAATCTTAATCAATGAATCAGTAATCTAACGAAGTCGTATAACTTGCCATATAACAACGGCCTCAAAACGTATAAAAAGTCTATTATCACGAACAGTGTAATCCTACAGATATATATATATATATATATATATATATATATATATATATATATATATATATATATTGATTTCTATATAAATATCAATAATATTAATTTTGCTTGGTAATTGTTTGCTTGAATCTTCCCATTACGATTGATCAGTTTCTTATTGGCATATCTGCATACTGTGTATATTGCCTTGATATTGCCTTAATTTACAAGTATTGTAAGCAAAGATGGATAGCGGCTAGCAGTGGAATCCAGGATGCACGTTTCGTCCCATTTGGGACTCGTCAGCTGGATGTAGCTGCACCTCCAAGTTGATGTTCACTCTGAGGCTCGAAATCAAATAGGACGAAACGCGCGTCCTGGATTCTACTGCTAGCCATTATCCATCTTTGCATATAAGACTCTAATAGTTTTGGATTCACTAATGAAAATGCTTTACGATGATATGCACTGCGATGTTACTCAGAAATTCCGTAACTTGTAGATTAAACTCATGAGTATTAAAAACAAAAATCCAGCGACAATATTATAGGATAATATATCTATAATTTAAAACAGATTGGAGTTAGGAAAATCATCTCAGAACAGAGTTCGATTGTGTTAACACATATTCTTTCACTTATTCATTGACTATATTTATTGACTGATGTTCGTATCTGAGCTGACCTTAACCAATATTATTGTAACATGTTACAGTTATCACAGTCATAACCCATGGAATGTAGCAACGTCGTAAATTTTACACCTATTTCAACCTGTTACTTTTTTCCGTAAGATGTTATTTATACGGTGAGGTGTACTCTTCAGAAAATCCCATCTTGTTTTTTTATTTGGATCCAGCTGTTTTCGTTGTATGTAAGTCGTCGACCTATCTAGTTGTGTATATCCTCCCTCTCTCATATTAAAGGGGTCTCTTGATCCATCCTACTTTAAACGTAGCTTATTCAAATCAGAATATTTTTTCAATCGCAGTCCACCATTTCCTTCGCCAAGGACCCTTCTTCACTCACTTTTGCGATAACATTACATAACATAACCTCAGCAGTGAAACAACTCAGACTATTGTTTCAAGTTAGAAAACAGTTTAACAGTTACTAGTCAATTAGATTTAATAACTTTACATTCTGAATTTCAAGATTAATTGTTAAAGTGCTAAGGTTCTAATGGTCGGATAGGTTATAAGAATTTATTAAAATGCATGAAGAATCAGTGGATTAGGTTTATTAGGTTTCATCGGTGAAGTAGCAGTGGCAATTAGTAATCGGCATAACCTTTGATAATAAAAAAAAACAATTTCATATGACTTACTGTCTTGAATTTGAAAGAATTTTCTCCTTCAATTTTTTGAAAACCATTAGAAACATAAACAAATGCTAACATGCACCATTAAGTTATCTTATATTTACAATAAATCAAAGATGTTTTTGTAAGTGATGAATTTTAGAAGTAAAGTGCTCTGCTTACAGGTATTCCTATTAGATATACCGAACACTGAATAACACATGAATTCTACAAAATTTTGTTAGCTATACTCTATTATCTGTCTTTCTAATCAATATCAATTGAATGCGTCCTTAATCATGAACTTTTAAGTTCATTCTTAAAAGTTTAAATTAACAGTATTGAAATGTTCATCTGAATTTCCCCTTAGTTATTACTCATTACTGAATCCATAATAATTAACATCATGTATGATGAAATCCCGAATGTTTTTTCGGTTGACTACCTAGCATGTTGCTAAGTTATTGTAACAGTAATGTACGTTTTAACTTCATTTTGAACTCTACTGATTCTAACACGATCATTTAAGCTATATACTGTCTTATCTATGCCTATTATTTGTAATCACGTGAAATCTTAGTTCCTATATAATAAAAAAATCACATAGATTTATAGTGATCATGCGACCTAATTGAAGAACCTAAAATTTTCTGACCACCTGTGATCTACTAAAATCAGTTTACTTTATTCTAATATTTAGTAATATTTACGTCCGTTGGCTAATCTCAGAACTTATATCGCGTAAAATTTGGTTGTAGAATGTATTTTTGTATCCTTAAGTTATGTGTGTACACACCAATGTTCTTTGTCAACTCTTTACAATGCCAAACATTTGTGTCCATCTCTCACTGTGGTTGCCAACCTAACTACACATTTCATTTTCTCGGTTTAAATTTCAGTGGATTATCACCGCCATCATGATGAACTATGAGATCCCGATTACTTTGTTTCAGATAGAGCACTATTTTAACAGTAGGTAAAAATTCAAAGTACCAAAGTTGGTTTCATC